GGGCTCAAGTATAGCAGGGATTGTGGGGCTGGTGTGGGATCGGGCAGTGTTTCGTTCTGCTGTGCATGGGGTCACTTTGAGTTGGAAAACAACTCGACGGCACTTAACAACAACAACAACATGATGTATGGGTTAAGTGTGAGGGACAGAGAATGCATCAAATAAGTTGAGAATCCTGACAAAAAGTATGATTGAATTGGTGATCTATGGAATCTAAGATGGTGGGATGAGAACCAAGAGGGAGCTGGCAAGAAGAAATTAGTATGAGGCAAAGGAATAAAAGTCCCTATTAATAGCTATGGTGGGATTAACTGAATGAAGGCATTGGAAGAATAGCAACTGTAGTAAGAGTAGAGGTTCATGAGTTTCCAATATTGAGAAGTTTTGGATGTGGCTTTGGGAGTTGATGGCTGTGGTAGAGTTGACCTGAGGCCATTGCAGTTAAGGATTTATATATAACTGGACTTTTGCTGAACAGGCTATGTAAAGGGCTGGTCATTTCAGTAGAGGGACAGCACACAGAGAGGCTTGAAATCATGAAGTATATTCTGGGACAAAAGATAATCTTGAGAGAGGCAGTGTGGTAGAATGGTTGCTTGAATAAACTCTGGAGCTATAAACATGGGTTCAGTCACCAACTGGCTGTATGACCTTACACAACTTCTCCAAACTTTTTGGACACCCAGCTCGTCTGTTAAAATGACACAATAACAGATCCTACTTCATAGGATTGTTGAGAAGATCACATAATACTTATACTTAGCAGAGTGACAAGAAGAGACTGGTGTGAAACTTGGAAAACCACAAACACTTAACTAGTCAGAGGGGAAAGAAAACAGCAAATCAGAGTAGTGATGAAGATAGCGAGGGTAAGACTAAGACACAGAGGTCCGTCCCCCCCCCCCCTCGCAAGAGTTAAAGAAGTAGTGAATAGACAATGAGAAAGAGGAAAAGTAGAAACAAAAAGATAATGGTAGCCAAAGGGAAGGAAGGAGTCAAGTGTTTGTTTAAAAAAGGCCAAAGTGGAAACAAGCAAGCAGAGAGACTTGAGCATTTATAAAGCTGAGAGGACAGAGCCAGTGGAGAGAACAGACAATTGAGAGAGCAGGAGCCCAAGAAAAAGGAAGGGACAAGGTTGAGAGCATTGATGGAGGCATGAGCTTACCACTTTGGAGCAGAATTGCCAATGTGAAGGACCCTGAGAAAAGCTGACTGGGTAAAGGAAATTCAGGTGGGCTACCTATGCCACTACCTCCTGTTTCTTCCCTCTTAGAGCTGGGCACCCAAAGATAATTTTGGTAGGTAGAGTGGTGGCAGCTGTCCCTTCTATATAATACAGGATTACTTGAAGGGCTATAAGTCAGACTTGCAAATAAAAAGTAAAATTAAACAGTAGTTTCATCAAGTTTATTATGGCGTTAAACATTGATTTTAAAAGGTTGAGTATATTCTCTTATCTCAGAGTGTCCTTAGATTAGTAAGGTGTTGGTGGTAGTTGTCAGTGAGTCAGTTTCGACTCATGGCAACATTACGTGTCCAGGTATACCTCTTCTAGAGTTTTCAGGGCTGTGAACTTTCAGAAGCAGGTCAGTTGGCCTGTCTTCTGAAGCACCCCTGGATAGGTTTGAACTTTCAACCTTTCATCTAGTAATCCAGCACTTAACCATTTTTAAAAATAGAAATAGTTCTCTTGTTTTATTATGTTTAAGACCAGATCCTTTGTGAAATAATTTTTACTTTTTCCTCTATAGGCTAAAAAGAAGCGAAGAGTGACTTGGTGCCTCGGCAAAATCAACAAAATGAAAGATTCAAACTATGTAAATGAATTTAATATGAAAACAAATATAACAACAAAACCCCACAAAGCTGCTGTATCTTTGCTAGGAGAAATTGATGAATGTGAGTCATTTTTCAAGTGGAACAACTTTTAATTTTAAAAGCAGCCCAGTGAAGAGAGACTTTATTTATAACCCCGTCAGTGATATTTTAGTTGTGATTACAAATGGAGATTATAATAAAAATATGTAATTTTAAGAAAGGAAATATTCAGAAACAAAACAAACCAAATTCACTGCCATCAAGTCGATCCTAACTCATAGCAACCCCCACTGAGTTATGAGGCTATAAATCTTTATGGAAGTAGATCACCCCATCTTCCTTCCACAGAGTAACTGGTGGGTTTGAATTGCTGACCTTCTGGTTAGCAGCCAGATGCCTCATCCACTACACCAAATATTGAGAAAATTCCTTATTACTTCTTTTATCTCTTAAGTACATATTGTAGTTGAGACATATAAGACATATTTTTGTTGTTATTCTAACCATTATCCAGTTCAATTAGAATGCATGTAACATCTGTCTTAAATTTGGCTAATCTTGAAATGGTGGCATTTATACAGGACTCTGTTTCAAAATTTTGTCTTTAATATTATAATCTTATCTTCTGGGGACATTCTGAAATTTACTTACAGTGATCAGGTAACAAATTTAGATTTTGTTATCTTTACCTATACATGTATTAAGGATCCTACATGTCTCATTAATTCCAACCAGCGATCTTAACTCACACAATAATGTAATAATTGTATCTATTATTAGCATTAATTTTGGCATTCATAGACTGAACAGGTATTGGCTAATTCGAGATTCTTATTTCCTCTGATCAGAGTATCGTTTAATAATTTGACTTTAGGAAACTTTAAAAACATGTTTATGGATCCTTGCCTTTTTCTCCTAATTATAGCTCTCTGTTCAGAGGCTGATGTTTTCAGTAACACTCTTGATACAGTAACTGACGTAGAGTGGAATCCAGCAACAAAGCTACTAAGTCCGGTAACTTCATCTATTTTACAGAACATTATCCTTTTACTCTTCTTTACACTCATTTGTTATTGGAGTTAACTGTTGTTCTTATAGAATATTACTAGTTGTTACTGAATTTCAGAAGCAGTTTTGGTTGTAGGTAGGTATTGTCTACTCCTTATATACCTAAACGATAACTGAGGCACCCAGAGGGAGGCACAGATTTCATAAAGCGGGTGTTATGTTCATAGGTAAAGCTGTGCCTCTAGTTCTTTACCAGCAGATCTTGGTGTTTTAATCTGTGATGTTTTTTTTAAAAAAAAATTTGCCTTGGTCAATCCCAGAAGAATGAAAAGACTAATTTTAAAAGTGTAAAAATTCTCAGTCATACAGTTGAAGAATTATATAGCAGGGAGGGATAATATTACTAAATAATACTGAAAATAAAGGCAAATGTATTATATGTGGTCTTATCTAAACTGTTTAAGGGATAAACAGTATAAAGTATACTTTGCAAATACTTCAATGAGTTTAGATTTTTATTTATAATATATTAAAATATTTTAATTTAGGAATAAAGTCACAGTACTTTTTAGTAATTATAATTAACATTAGTTGATCTATAAAAGAGTATTATGTTGTTGTTCTTATTGTTGTTGTGTGCTGTCGAATTGACCCCGACTCATAGTGACCCCTCCTTGGGTTTCCGAGCCAGTATCACTACAGAAGTAGATTGCCCAACCTTCCTTCCGAGGAGTGGCTGGTGGGTTTGAGCCACCAGCCTTCTTGTTAGCAGTCAAATGCCTCAGGCACTACACTACCAGAACTCCTAAAGAGTATTATAGAGTATTAAAGTATTAAGTATTTTTGTGTCCCTAAGACATATCCTAGAAGTCTGTTGTTTAGACACACTCTAGAAAGTTTTTTGTTGTTTTAAATACCTCATGTTAGCTTTTTTTAAAAAAAAATTTTAGCCTATAGTTTATCTCTTTCTTATAATAGCATACAAACTACAAACAGGCCTCTTTGAATGTGGTAAAACATAGCATCCGTTAGAGTTTTAGAGGTCAGTTAATAATACCTGTTTCCTTAATTCACAGGCCTCTGAGAAATAAAACAGTAGTTGGACTGATAGGAAATTAAATTATCAGATTTATTATAGATTACACTATCCTGCAGAGGGAGCTCTGGTAGCATAATGGCTAAGGCACTTGACTGCTAACCAGAAGGCTGGTGGTTCAAACCCACCAGCCACTCCTCGGAAGGAAGATGGGTCAATCTACTTCCGTAGTGATACTGCCTCGGAAACCCAAGGAGGGGTCGCTATGAGTCGGGTCCAACTCGATGGCACACAACAACAACAACAACATCCTGCAGAAGGGGGATCCTCAGGATTTATGGCCAAATGGGTTCTAGTCTGCACACACCTGTCTAGTTAAACTTTTCCAGGCAGAGCATTTGTTTGCATGATTCTTTATTTTTATTCTAAATTTTTTAGTTTACCAAAATATAAACCTTTCATTTTACTCTAAATCAAGGTAGACCATTAGAAAGTTATTAAAGAAGAGAATGGCCTAAGCCATTAAAGGATTCAAGATTAATTATTTGACTAACCCAAATTTTAGTTAAGGGTACAAAGAATGTATTATTTGAATTCCCTCTGATTTGAAAATCTGGTTTTGTTTATAATAGGAAACCTTAGAATGTGAGTTAAACTCACTTCGTGCTAACTATGATAGTCTGATATTAGACTATGAACAATTAAGAAGAGAACATGAAGAAATGGAATTGAAATTAAAAGAAAAGAATGATTTGGATGAATTTGAGGCTCTAGAAAAAAAAACTAAAAAAGATCAAGAGGTAAGAGATACGGAAATGTAAAACTGCTGTTGGTGGAGGAAATCATTCTTATAAAGATATTTATTTCTAAGATTGAGACCTTGAAGTCCACCCATTTTTCATGTATAAACACAATTTAGAGAATACTATAAGTATTAAATTTATTTAATTTTAAAAAACTAGTTAAGTCATATTTGTTTCACTTATGCTTAGGAAAAGAACGAGTTACAAACATCTTTGGGAAAGTTTGGTGGATCTGCCTATTGTTAAATTTGTCTTAAAGAAATGGTTTCCTTATTCAGTATATTATCAATATTTAATTTATTGAACACACCAGAAATGCTACCTAGAACATAGCCACTTCCTACTGAAATCAATATGAGTTTTCAAATCTAGCTGAATATTTTATGGATGCTACATATTAATGGACTTTTTCTTTTGACAGTATAGCCATAAATAGTTGGAGCATTATTAAAATAGCTAGAAAAGCTGATTTTGCACATTTTTTTCTTTTTCCATATAAAACAGTTATTGTGAAAATTAATATAACCAATAGTAAATCGTTTAAATGGAATTTTTAAAAATGAAACATTACCTAAATTTTCTAAGGTTATAATACTATAATACTACATGTTAAGAGAACCTAATCCAGAAATCATCAAACTTGGGGAATTTAGAAACTGTCCAAAATAATTATGGGGGCTCTTGAACCTTAAGTCCACAGGCACTATGATATTATTTTGCAGAATTTTTGAGTGCATATTCATTTTTCTGGTATAAGAATCTATAGCTTTTATCAGATTTGCAAAGTGATCCATAAAATCCCCCACTCCATCCTCAAATAAGAGTCATTGTTTTGGTATAGTTAATTAAAATATGAGTTAACTTGGCACCGGCTTTTCAGATATCTGTATGGTTAGGCCAAAGAAATGTGACCCCTTTTCTCATTATCATTGTCCATTTTCTCACCCTCTTTTCCTCTTTCAAAGGAAAAAAGGATTTTGTGCCAAAGCTACTATTTCCATTCTCCCTACAGATTAAAGGTACTTCTACATTTCATAGGCATTACAGAGACAAATATCTGTAAGTTCTCTGTAGGGTCTCATTTCACTTGTTTAAAACATGCATATTAGCAAATGCCATGAAAAGAACAGTAAACTTGCAATTGATAAATCTTGGCAATGATTTTTTTGTTTTTTTCCTTATATTGTTAAAATATTCACTTAATTACAAAAACTGAAGCTCACTGAATTGAGTCAGCAGGCAGAAAGATTACAAAATCTTTCAGAATGTATACTTCACGCTTCATATCCAGGTTTTTCTTCCTTTTTAACTATAGTTAAGAAGAAAAATAACCATCATTTCATTTTTAATTGGACCCCTATTTAGATTCTAGATTCCTTAAGATAACCTAAAAGATTGTATAATCAAAATTTATCCTGTTAAAAGACAGTTTTATGGTATCCATGCTATGTTAAACAAAAAATATATCTATTAATATGTAGTAAAATAAATTCTGAAGCCTACATTTTGGGGAAAAGTTTCACTAAAAGTGCATAAAAGTCAAATTATGGCCTTAAAACATGTGTTCATTGCACTGGTTTTGTTAAAAGTCACCAAAGAGGCGGATAATTTTTAAGAGGAAACAGTAATACAGGATGCTTAAACAATCATTTTAGAGGGAGGGATGAAATAGGGAAGTATCAACAAGCTGTAGGAATAAAGAAATCTTAACCATCCACCTATTTTAACTTAATTTATTTAATTCTAGAATTTCCACAACTTGGCGATTTTTGTCTTATGAAGTTAAACATTCACTTTACCTGCCGAATGTCTCAGCTGAAATCTGCAGTGTTTTCTTTTCTAGCAGTGGATTAACTGTTGCTCAGATTGTGTGTTAAAATCATTTTTGCAGTGAGCACATTTTCTCTTTATGTTCAGTACCTTCACATCTTGAACAATATGTCACTGGAGCTTATATGCTGACCTTTTCAAAAATTAATCTCTTTCTATTTCTGAAAAATCAGTACTTAAAGAGGAAGTGCTGTTTGAGATGAGAGCCAGGAGAATTTCTCCTCTTTTTAAATTTTATTTTTCTAAATATTTTCAAAACTTAAGATTGATTCATTCTCTCTTATTTAGTGAAATATGGTTTTCTTGCACAAAAGAAATTGGCAAGGAGGAAAAGGTAAAAGATGAAGCCAATTCAAATTATAACCAGTAATACTGTGCTGTACAATAGGATAGCCACATGTGGCAATTGAGCACTTAAAAGGGGGTAGTCTGAATTAAGTATGAAAAAGAATGTACAGTATCTTGCTAAAATATTTTTATATTGACTACATGGAGAAATGATAATATTTTTGATATATTGGATTAAGTAAAATAAAGTATTAAAATTTCACCTGTGCTTCTTTTTTTTTTTTTTTTTTAATGTAGCTACTAGAAAATCTTAAGTTACAGTACACGGCTCACATATTTTTATTGGACAACGCTGGCCCAAAATAGGGTCAATACTAGCACTAGCCTGAAATAAAAAACTAGTGAGGACTTAATTGAACATCCAGAAAATCCTATTTAAACAAGATATTTTATTCTTAAGACCCTTACATCCTGTTAGAGTTGGCTTTTACTCTAAGTGCTCATCTGGTTGTGAGGATTGCATAATTCTAAGGTGAAATATGTTTTATCTTTGGCAAATTATGGTTTCCTTTTTGAGCACAAAGTTTCTAGTACTCAAATATTTAATGATGCAGATATTTTAGTAGGAAAGAAATTTTAATAGAAAATATTTGTGTTTTTAGGTATTCTTTACACTTTAAGACAGTTGAACAAAATAAAGCAAAAGCATCATCATTCCAGGATTTCCTATAGAGTAAACCAATGAGATAATAATAGTTGATAATCTTGTATTTCTATAAGTTTGGTGAAACAGTAATGACATTGTAAAGGTACCACAGAGACTACCCTAAGCCAAACCTAGATTCCAAATCACAACTCATTTAAAAAAAAAGTCAAAATTTCTGCACTCACCTAAAACAAAACTCTATTAAAAGTATATATTTTTTTAAAGTTCTGTAACCATTTTACTATCTCCTTAAAGTGGTGTAAACTAATTTGCTATTGATATAATCACAGCTTTATTAACAGGTGACGTAACTATTATTTGGGTCATGGTGAGATTTTTATTTTTTTATTATTTGCATGTTTTGTTTTTTAATTTTGTATTTTTAAATGATGAAGTGCTCTGTTGTGATACCTTGAACAGTTGATCTCTCAGCCCCTTCTAACTGTGTTGGGTGACTTTGAGGCAGTGAATGATTGCTATCTATTTTTTTTTTTTTTTTTGCTTTATTAACTATTGGTTTGCTCTGTTGCCTATTCACGTGCTCTTACAGATGCAACTAATTCATGAAATTTCCAACTTAAAGAATTTAGTTAAGCATGCAGAAGTATATAATCAAGATCTTGAGGTGAGCATTTATGTTGGTATTTCTATTGGTAACTTTTGTGTTGTTGTTGTTATGTGCCGTCGAGTCGGACCCGACTCATAGCGACCCCTCTTTGGGTTTCTGAGGCAGTATCACTACGGAAGTAGATTGCCCAACCTTCCAAGGAATGGCTGGTGGGTTTGAACCTCTAGCCTTATGGTTAGCAGTCAAGTGCCTTAGGCACTACACTATCAGAGCTCCTTATTGCTAACTAGAGCTACTAAAGATACATCATGTAATGGAAGATGATTTCAGAAAATAGAAGGAATTCTATTTTTTAGATGTTAATAATGTTTTGAATTTTACTGTCTACTAATTTAAACAATTAAATATAAGTTCTGTTTTATTCCCTTAGAATTCAAATCAGATACCTAAATTATGTTTCACTGTCCTCTGAATCTTTTAGGCTGAACTAAGTTCAAAAGAAGAGCTGCTTAGAGAAAAGGAAGACCAGATTAAGAAGCTACAGAAATACATAGACTCACAGAAGTCAGAAAATATAAAAATGGACTTGTCCTGTTCAGCGGTAAAAATCAGGTTTATTTTGTTGTGTAATCTTGTTGACATTTACAGTATGCCACATCATAATAGCAAGTGCTGATACTGGGCATGCTGTGTGCCAGGCACTTTTCTAATCACTTTATATAAAATAGTTCATTTAATTCTGTCTATAACCCTATGAGAGAAGGGCTGTTTGTGTCATTGTCATTTTACAGATGCAAAAACGTTCATATAGAGTTGAGGTCATCATTCTTTGATTGCATGTAAGGAAGTTAGGGACCAATTTACTTTAAAAATCAGTAATTCAAAGAATTTTGGATTTTTTCCTAAATCTTTTTCATTATTTTTATACAAATAATATATTGATGCATTCTCATTATTATTTAAGTAACAATTTTAACAGAATGGTGAGAATTTCAGAAACTAATAGTAGATGGTTTTAGTTAGTATAAGGTCATTGCATTAAATAACATTGAATCTCATGATGAAATTGTTAATCTCCTTGCAGTTTGCTTTCAAGCCACCTGATTATTATCAGAAAGTATCAGCTTTGATTCTCTTTTTTAACCCCTTCTTTTAAAAGTCAATGGTTTCTAAATAATATTTTAAATATATGTTTATGTTGTCATTCTTTGGTTTTCATTTGAGTTTTTCTGAGCAATTATTGTTAGTTTCTATTTATAACAAGTGATCCCTTTGAAAAAGAATCATACTATTTCACATCTCAATATTCTGAGAGTCTGGGATGAAAGAAACTTTCATGTATTCCTGGAGTGCTTATTGACAGAATGGCAGGCAGAATTGCTCACTTTTTAAGGATTGTTGTTTCTTTCTTCTTTTTCATTTAGCTCATGTGCTCATTCATTCGTGTATTAATTTTTTGCCAAGAGCATATGGTTGAATTCATGTAAGCTTAAGTCTTAATGTGCCACTTCTTTCTAAAGATGAGGTTGTAGATATTTTTGATGTATTTGCCTGCTATTTGCATTTTCTCTCCTGAGAATTGCCTGTTTACATCTTTGTTCTATTTTTCTATTGGTTTGTTTGCCTTTTTCTTTTCAAACTGTGGTTTAATATCTTTGGTGTTATTGTTGTTTGATGCCATTGAGTCGATGCTGACTCAGAGCAAGCCCACATGGCAGAGTTGCACTTGGTCCACAGGGTTTTCTAGGCTGTAATCTTTATGGGAACGGATAGCCAGGTCTCTCTCCCAAGGAGCGGCTGGGTGGGTTCAAACCATCAAACTTCCTATTAGCAATTAAACACTTTACTGTGCACCATCAGAACTCCTTAATATCCTTAATATGACCTATTATTGCCTATCATATGTTACAGAGAATAACTCAAAATAAATAAAAATATATAGGGAACTGGAACAACCTAGCTAAACAATTGTGCTAATCTTTTATTAAACAATAATTGATTCCTTAAATTATAGCATTTCCATACACTGCTTTTATAATTTGGAAAAATATGGCCAAAATTTTTTTAAAATTTTAATTATGAAAAACAATTTCTTCTCATTTATTTTCATTAAAATAGATATGATAATTAGGGTAATTTTACCCTTTTTGATTAGTTAAAAATATTCTCTGAAGTTTTTTGTAACTCTAAGAAAATAAAATTTCACAAAATCTCTTTTGTCTTGTGTATATATAATCCTTATTTCTTTAGGAAAACACTGAAGACCTTAAACGAATGAAACAGACTCTGTTTGATGCTGAAACTCTAACTCTTGATGCCAAGAGAGAATCAGCTTTTCTTAGAAGTGAAAACCAAGAGCTGAAAGAGAAAATGGTAAATAATTTTTATAATATTTACAGTAAAGCAGTTGTAATGATGAGTATTTTTTGTGAATTTGTGATGTTTCTCTCAATAGAATGAACTTACAAATACATGCAAGCAAATGGAAAATGATATTAAGGTATTTCAAAGCCAATTGAAGACAAAAAAGAAAATGCAAGTTGATCTAGAGAAAGAATTACAATCTGCTTTTAATGAAATAACAAAACTGACTTCCCTTGTGGATGGCAAAGTTTCAAAAGGTATTTTGTAATTTCAGATTTATCTCTGCAAATCTGACTTGCTCTAGAAGTGTACCTAAAGAATTTAACCACTATATCTCAATGATTTTGCTTTGCTCTTTTTCGATCTCTTAATACAAAATTTCAGTATTTTTCAGTATCAGTATTTATAAAAGTTTCCATCAGCTTTAAAAGTTTAAAAATTACTTTAGAAATGAAACATTGGTGGCATTGTGGTTAAAGCATTGGGCTGCTAACTAAAAGATCAGCAGTTCAAACCCACCAGCCACTGTGCAGGAGAAATATGAGGCAGTCTGCTTCCATGAAGGTTTACAGCCTTGGAAACCCTATGTCCTGTAGGGTCACTGTGAGTTGGAATTGACTCAATGGCAATGGGTTTAGTTTAGGGTTTTTGGAAATAAACTGAGCCTGATCTAGAAAAAGATTACCTGTTGGCCAACACTGGCTCTTTCTTTTAAAAAACTAATAGATTTAAATAATCTACCTTTGTGTTTAACTTAGATTGTCCCAATTTGTGTAAGCTGTTTTATTTAATTTACCAAAACTTTCTAGATATACTCTGTAACTTAGAATTGGAAAGAAGGACTACTGATCTCCAGAAAGAACTGAATAAAAAGACTGAGGAAAATGCAGTTTTGCGTAAAGAAGTTAATTTGCTCTCAGAATTGAAGTCTTCATCCCTTGAAGTAGACATGCTGAGGAAAGAGGTAAATACATTTTTAAGTAATTAACGCTTCTTTTGAAGTAAAGACCTTGCAAAAGTGCCTTAAATATTTTAACATGGTTTATTTTACAGCAGGCAAGAACTATGATAAATATTTGAGTATTACCATGTTAGCAATAATCTTTTCTTAAGGTACAGGATAAAAAATATATATATTCTTTTACACTATATTTAACACTATACATGGTAATATAATCCATGTAGCAGCCATTGTTACAGTCCTCAAATGTTGCATTTTAACAGAGTGCATGGCCCATCATTAGTCTTTAACTTGTTTTGTTTTGTGGTAGGCATATCACTGTATTGGATAAAAGAGGAATGAGGTAAAGGATGTGGCACTGATAAAATTTCAGAGGCCAGTATAAATCTTGCAGAGTAGTGAATGATTTTGTAAACCGATTAACTGATTTAATCATACTATTAATGCTTTAAAGATGGTGTTGCTTTTTTAGCCCCAAAAAACAGTTATGAAACTGAGAAGCATCTAAGGGTTTGAACATGGACCTGCTACCTAAGCCCATGCTTATAACAATTCTGCTATATTACCCCTTTCTTTTCATCTCTCCTTAATCTCTTCTCTCCTTTTCCCATCTCTCTTAACCCTCATGTCTCACAATGCTTAAAATGCTCATAAGCAGATATGGATTAAAGTATTTGTTTGAATATTTAAATAATATTTAATAGTTTAACTTATTTGTGGATTCCGTTTTTGGCAATTTGAGCTGTATTCAGAGCCACTAGAGAAAAAGAAAATAAGAGTCAAGTTCTAAGAAAAACCATAGAATTCTTCCCACACCATAAAGTTAGAAAACACTTTAAAGTGGTAAATAAGGAAATAAAAAGAGGCATCCTGATAAAGTGTTTCTACTGAGAGTACTTTTCTATTCAATCCTTATTTAGATCCCAAAGATTAGAAAACAGAACTTTCAAGGTAAAGTTAACAGGATATTATATTAAGTTATAGAAAGATGGCAATAAGAATATTGCCTTTCTTCAGTCAGATCTTTGCTTAATTAAAATGTCTTTTTTTTCACATATAAAGCTTTTTTTTTCCTCCTGTAAACTGCTTCTATGGATCTTACGTTGCTAACATTCCTAAATCATTTTTCTTTTTCATAGATACATGATAAATCTGAAGAGCTCAATCTACTAAAATCAGGAAAAGATGAACTTCTTTCTGAAGTAGCTGATAAGGAAAGAATAATTCAAGATTTACTTGAAGAAATTAGGAAAACTAAAGATGACCTGGCAACTACCCAGTTGAATTATAAAATCATTGATCAAGAATTCCAAGATTTTAAAAACCAGCAAATGGACTTTGAGGAAAAGTATAAGATGGCCCTTGAGGAGAATGTGGGAATGAATCAGGAATTAGGAACTCTCTCTAAAGAAGTGCAAAAACTTGGTTTGAGTTTGGAGGATGTGAAGAAAGAGGTTGGTACAAAATACTTCTTAGGGAAGTTATTTTTACCTTCTGCAGTTTGACCTTCATATAAAAAGCTTCATACATATGTCAGAAAATGATCTTCTTTTACTATATTACATTTACTTTTCTTATTTTAAAGCTTTGTCACAAATCCCAGGAACTTCAACAGAAAACTGCTGAGGGTCAAGAAAGGTTAAATGAAATGGAAGTGCTGAAGGAAGAATTAGAAAATAGAGATGCTAGGCTGCAAACTGTAGAAAAGGAGAAAACAGTGATTACTGAGAAGCTTCAACGAACCTTAGAAGAAGTAAAAACCATAGCCCAAGAAAAAGAGGACCTCAAACAACTGCAAGAGAGCCTCCAAATTGAGAGAGACCAACTCAAAAGTGATATTCAGGACACTGTAAACATGGTAAGAAAATTTGGATCTACTAAACTTTGAAAACTTGGAGCCTCTTAAAAACATTAGAAGAGCCACCAACAAACATTTTAGATCAAGTAGTGACTATAAAATTATTTTCCTTGTTCTACATTCTAATGACATTTTTAAAATATATTTCCTTCACAAAGAACATAGACACACAAGAACAATTAAGAAATGCTCTTGAATCTTTGAAACAACACCAAGGAACGATTAATGTGCTAAAAATGAAAATTTCTGAAGGAACTTATAGCAATTTGCATATAGAGGAAAACATAGGAGAAACTGTGAATGAAATTCAGGAAAAGGTAAGGGATGCTTTTTTGAGGTTTTCATGTACTTGTATATAAGTATTACCATTTTTTAAAACCTCAAACATGTAAGTATATGTTGGTAATCTCAATCTTTAAATACTCACAGCATTAATTACTAGTAGCAATTTTACAAGCTTTGCTCTAATGACTTTGAAATAACTGAATATAATTGCTTATATTGTTGTTGTCGTTGTTGTTATGTGCTGTCGAGTTGGATCCGACTCATAGCAATCCCTCCTTGGGTTTCCAAGGCAGTATCACTACGGAAGTAGATCACCCCAACTTATAGTCAGTTTTAAAAGAAAAAGCAAAAAAGCATTTGTTCAGACTTTGAACAAAATACCTGATATATTTTAAACATCTTTAAAAGTCTCTCTAAATTTTAAGATGTCAAGAAAGATTGTTTGTTATTAATTATGCCTAAAATGTTTGTTTAATTTCGTATTTTATACAGTATACTTCTTTAGTATAATCAATGTGTGTATCATATTTATGTCTGTTTTTAGGGCTTGAACCATCATTTTACTACTAAGTAATATCAAATAGTACCTTAGTAACTCTTTCTAGGTAGTGCAGTTCATTTCTTCATAAGATCTTAGGCAAGTAACTGCTTACTGGTTATTTAGTTACGTATGGAAAGGCTAGGATGCTAATGATTTTTTTTTTAAGAATTAGAGGGAGGATTGCATGTAATTTTTACTATGGATACATTTACTATACCTTTCTACTTTTCTGAAATACCCTTAAAATTTATTGTCAACAGAAATTTTAAAACTTTATGATTAGTAAGCATATTCTCATATAAAGAACAATGTTTTTTCTTTATTTAATAATTAGATCTATTAGTTTTTACTCATAACTATGGTAGCTGAAATGCTTTCTAGGCTTAGTTCAGATTTGAAATGGACCTTGGATGTCAATAGAAAGGACATTGTCTCAATATGCTTGTGTTTGTATATACTACTGTTTTTAGGAGTGAATATACAAGATTCAGAAATATAATATGACAGACTAGTCTCAAAAGATTGTATTCTCTGCCTTAATTTCTCATAGTTAGCCCTGTGCTCACCATTGTCAGATGCTCATGCATATTGCCAACAATAAATGGATAGCTAAGTATGGTTTATTCATACACTTTCTAGAGAATTAGCCACTAAAAATTATGATTTGAAAATTACGTAACAGCATGGGAAAATGCATATAATCCAAGGGTAAAAAGTAGCTAAAAGAATCATGTAAATTAATAGTATTATCTATGCTAAAATTTTGTTTTTAATAGAAAAATCTCTGAAAGGAAATTCTAACATTGGTTGTGTGAGGTTGGATGATTTTTTTTTCTCCTTTACTTTCCAAAATGTTTAATACTGTGATCATATTTTTATGCCATTGAGTCAATTCCAACTCATAGCAACTCCATGTGTGTGATGGAGCAGAACTGCCCCATAGGGTTTTCTTGGCTGTAATCTTCATGGAAGCATATCACTAGGTCATTCTCCCATGGAGCAGCTGGGTGGGTTCAAACCACCAACCTTTCTCTTAGCTGCCGAAAGCATAACTGTTGAGCCACCAGGGCTCCTTAATGTGGTCATAGATTATTATAAACATTTTTAAAACACGTGTGCCAGTAGCATAGTGCCTAAGGCACTTGACTGCTCACCAGAAGGCTGGCGGTTCAAACCCACCAGCCACTCCTCGGAAGGAAGGTTGGGCAATCCTACTTCCATAGTGATACTACCTCAGAAACCCAAGGAGGAGTTGCTATGAGTTGGGGCTGACTCGACAGCAAACAACAGCAACAACAACAGTGTAAGGTTATATAGTAATACCCTAATTTCATACCAGCAATTACTGTATCATTGTATGTCTCACTTTACTAATAAGTCCTTATATTAGTTTACCTCTGGGTAAGACATTTATGGATAAATAAATTTATACTAATATGTTTTTCTTAAGCAGCATATGAAAATGTATTTTAAAAGGTGAATTATGCTATTACATGAGATAGATTTCCATCAAAATTATTTTGCCCTCTACAAATAAAAAACTTGAGCCTTTTGTGAGTGAGGCTGCCTCTGAAAAGAAAGATTTGCTGGGGATGGAGAATGGGAAATAATTGCCAGCTTTTGAAGGACAGAGATAAATTAGTAGAGTTCAAGGTTGCTTCTTTTCTAATAGTAAGAAGCAAAGTACTATTATAACATGAAACCTAGAAAATATTTATGGAAAATATATAGAAAAGGAGGTCAAATATCTTTTTACTTATTCTGTATCTGGTTTTTAGTGAGTAAACATACATAAAGTAAGGTTAATTAAGCATACATAAGATAATTATTAATTATCTGTAGCTGTCCAGGTAGTTCTTACCAGTGAACAGGCAGGCACAGTCACAAACTCTGGAGCCAGACAATTTTGAGTTCAAAATCTGGCTATACTTCTTTCTGAGTGACATTGGCAAAGTGACTTAACATCTCTAGAATTCATTTTCTCATCTGTCAAATGGTGATAATAATAGTTCCTACTTTAAGATCATAGTATAGATTAAATATATGAGAATAGTGCCTGATACATAATATTTTTGTTTGTTATTGTTGTAATTAGTTATGACTAACTTTTAAATTCTTATTTAATATATTTACATTGTAGATGATCAACATAGACAAAAAACAGAATTTAGAAACCAAAGAAACCCAACTACTGATTGCAGATATTGGGGATAATGAGTCAATAGAGCAACAGAGGAAGATACTTTCTTTAATACAGGAGAAAAATGAACTCCAACAAATGTTAAAGAGTATTATAGCAGAAAAGGAACAATTGAAGATTGACCTCAAGGAAAATATTGAAATGGTAGGATTTAGTATGATTTACCATTTTTACCAACTTTAAACCAAAAACCAAACCAAACTGACTGCTACTATTGAGTCCATTTCAACTCATTTATTGGAGTATAATTTACATGTGGTGAAATGTGCCTGATGTGGATAGGTATACAGTATGATGACTTTTTACAAATGTCTCTACTTGTGAATCCTCTACCAAAATACAGAACATTTCTATCACCCTAAAAAGTTCCCTCATACCCCTCTCCAGTCAATCTCCATCTCATCTTTTACCTCAAACAATTACTGTCTTGATATTTTTCTTCTCAAATGACTTACCTCTTCTAGAAATTCACACAAGTAAAATCATACAGTATATACTCTTTTGTGTCTGCCTTCTTCATACATTCCTTTTGACTGCTGCAATAGTATTCTACTGTATGAATATGCCACAATCCCTTTTTCTGTTGATGGAACTTTGAATAGTTTCCAGTATTTGCCTATTTTGAATAAAGCTGCTGTAAATATTCTTGTATAAATCTTTTTATGTACATTTGTTTGTTTGATTTCTCTTGGCTAAATGCCTAAACTGAATAACTGGGTCATAGTGGGGTATATGTTGAACTTGATGAGAATTTGCTAAACTGATTTCCAAAGTAGTTGTACCATTTTATTTTCTCACCAGCAAATTAAGAGAATTCTGGTAGCTCTAAAATCCCACCAACACTTCATGTTGTGGTATTTTTTATTTTAGCCATTCTAGTAAATATGTACCACATTATTGTTTTAATTTGCAGTCCCCTGAGGACTAATGAATGATGTTAAGCTTTCTTTATGTGATTATTGGCCATTGTATTTATATTTTGTATTTATATTTTCTTAAATTATCTGTCATCACAGTGATGTGTTGTAGATTTTCAGTGTGCTAGTCTTATGTATAAGAGCTCTGGTGATGTAGTGCCTAAGCCATTTGACTGCTAACCAGAAGGCTAGCAGTTCAAACCCACCAGCGAGTCCTCAGAAGGAAGGCTGGGCAATCCACTTCCATAGTGATACTGCCTCAGAAACCCAAGGAGCGGTCTGTATGAGTCAGATCTGACTCCACGGCAGTGAGTTTTAGTCTTGTATGTATTTTGTTAAATGTCTCTAAATGTTTCTCTTTTTTTAATGCCATTATAATTTCCTTTCTTACTTTTATAAATTGTTCTTAATGTTTGCCAATATTTTCAAACCTACTTTAGTTTTTGTTTCTGTGTTTAGAGGCAATATAATGTGTATAGATTGAAATTAATGTTTTTGAAAAGTTCACTATGCACCACAGTAAAGCCTGGCCATTTGTGTTGTTTTAATTTTCCATGTTTCTTTGGATTGTCCATTTGCATGTAAATAAGTATACAAACAAAAGTCATATATTCTTCTTATTTTCTGGCTTGTTATTTTCTTGTGGTCTTGATAATTGAAAATGTCACTGTGGAAGCATAATAATCCAAATTAATCCAAGTCATGCTAACAAAGAGTGGCTGCTATTTTGTGTTTGCCTGGTGATCCACACCCAAAACCAGAGCTGTACCAGTATATGAAAAGACTGTGGAAACTTAGACACAGTTTGTTTTGGCTTAAGGAGAGAAATGAGCTAAGCTCTCATGATAGTTGCTATATCCAATTCTGATTCTTATGATAAGGACGTAAGTTGAGCAGTAAAGAAACAGAATAAAAAGCACAATGTTGGCATCTATATGATTAAATTAACTTTTCACTTTCTTTTTAAATTAATCTTTTCCTATATAGTTTGCTCTGGTTTCTTCATCTGCAGTCTGAGGTAAATGCTAATTTTTACCTGATTTTGTAAATGTAAACTAGTATTATTTATTTTAATCTCAATTTTTTTTTTTTTTTTTTAATTCTAGACTATTGAAAACCAGGAAGAACTGAGAATTCTTGGACATGAACTTAAAAAGCAACAAGAGATAGTGGCAGAAGAAAAGAGCCAAGTCATTAAGAAAGAGGAAGAGCTTTCAAAGACCTGTGAGAGATTGGTGGAAGTTGAAGAATATCTAAAAGAAAAGGTAAATTTTTGAAATGTTATTGCTGGCCATTTTTTTCTCACTGAACTTCTTTTGGTAATAAATTTTGCTTTCCCCACAGATCTGAATCCAAATATAGCACTACCTCCCAAATAAATAGATTTAAATGCTTGTGTTAGAGTACTTGTAACTCTTATGAGATCTTAACTAATATCCCTTTGTGAGAATAAAAGTATTCTAGAGTCTTTAGGTGAGAGGTGGCCTTGTATCATCTAAACTAATCTCCATATTTAGTCATATGATACATTCTTGCATTAAATATTCATTGGACACTGTTATAAGCAAGGCAGTGGTCTGGGTGCTTGAGATACATTAATCAACAAAACAGACATCCTGCCCTATGGAGATATGTCAGTTATTCTGCAAAATGTAAGACATATCACTAATGCTTCCTTTTTCTTTGATACATTAAAATATTTTGGGTAACTGATATCATCAGGTAATTAGATCCACATAAATAATTGAAAGACTTACAGAAGATAAACCTTCTAATTTTAATTAGGTTTAATAGGAATGTTTCTAACATATATTTTAACATACTTCATTGGGCATAGTATAAGTAAAGAGCCCTTTCTTTATGATTTAAGGTCATATGTGTGGTTTGGTGTGGAGATCTATTCTCATCCTGTGCGCTATAGTTACAGTAAACCAGGATTTTTGAGGTGTGTCCTCTATAATACTCCACCAGCATGTTGACTTTTATTTTGCTGCCTTGTTGAACAAATAGGCTAAGGAAGTATGGGTAGTTTTCCTTATCCTGTGGAGTTAAGTGCTTAGTCTTTCAGACTGCTATTCATGATTTAGGGCTTTTTCTCGTATTTTCAGATTCTTTCCATCTCTTAGATGTTTGCTGTTTCCTGAATCATTTCTTTCAAAGAAGTAAGATATTCTTATAATATTTGTTTAATAACTAAGATGCTTGTAACAATTATACTGCCCAAGTTATTATAAAATACACTCACTGAGATATTTACGTAATCTAAGGGTGGTACCACATTCATTAGAGATAATATTTCCATTGTTGTTCTTCTATGGAGTATTTTTTCCTAATATTTTTCTTCTTTCAATTCTCATCCATTTCACTATCAACTATAGTTTACTAGTACCTTATGTCTAGTTTATACTCCTGCTAAAAAAGTGCAGTCCATAGTCTATGAAAGTCCCTCAGGGTTTATTTGGGGCACCCCTTTAGGACCTTGTTGGAAGTGAAAATAAATTATTCAAAAAGTTTTTAATGAGAAATTACAGCTACTTGGTAGCTATATTTATATATTTACTTTCTTTTCTCTTACTTTTTCCCATTTTTACTTTACCTCTTTAAAAATTATATAAAACTTAATGATAGTATGTTTGGAGCATTAGATTACTTTTAATGTTGCTTCTCTATTTACATTGGGGAAGTAGGCAAGCTGTCATATGATTATTTCAGTTTTACATAAGAATGCAGAGACAATGCAGGCAAAATGATAATTGTGAAAACTATATATCTTAAGAATGAACAACTGCAAGAAAAACAGCAACAACTTCTTACTGTAAGAAAAGAGATGAGTGAACTACAGACAAAGATAAACGAAATGGAGAATTTAAAGAATGAACTAAAGAGCAAAGAATTAACACTGGAACATATAGAAATGGAGAAACTTGAGTTGACTCAGAAACTTCATGAAAATAATGAAGAAATTAAGTCTATAACCAAAGAAAGAAATGATCTAAAGAAATTACAAGAGTCATTTGAAATGGAGAGAGAGCAACTTAAAGGATACATAAGAGAAATTGAAGCTACAGTAAGTTCCTTTTCCTTCATATATTAAATGTTTCTTTAAAAACTGAGCCAGCTGGCAGTCAATTAATGTAATTGCTGTCAGTAAAAAGTTGAATTGGGAAGAGTTATATGATAAATATATTTCCAACAACATGAAAAGAAGCTGCTGGGGCTGCTAATGTACAACACAACAAAAAAGGTATGGCGGCCATATCTGACCTCTGACTTCACAAGAGGGAAACAAAATCACCATCTGCAACATCAGCCTCAGGCTATCCTCTAATTCTGTCAAGTTCTGACAACACCCATCCCTCCATGCCGCTCTCTACTTCTCTACCGGATTCGGTATCTTGTTATAGAAGCCAAACAGAACTCACAAACAATATTCACAATTACGGGGTTTATTAGGGAACTAACAGGCTACATACAATTCATGATCTAAAACAGTTCAGGATATAGTTCTTCAATCAGGACAGCTTCTCAGCCATGACACAACACACTTCTCTCTGCCCTCACCCTCTGTCCTGGTTGGGCCATTGTTACAGAGCTCTTTTAGTTTTGATGGTAGGTGCCCAAAGAGGGACTCCCCTCTGCCAGCAAGCTTCCTGCCTGAAGGCACTCAGCTTTCTCACTTCACAGCCAGGTAACCCACCCATCTGTCTCATGCCGGTCTCATGGTACTGCTGCCTCTGCTGACACCATCTCTCTGCCATCTCAGGGATCTTTGGTCTAAGGACATGCTCCATTCTCAGCTCTTCTCTCTTGATGGCAGTCAGATCCCCCTTTTCTGCCTTTGGGATGGTTCATTTTAAGCCTGGCAGGGTGACAAAACTGACCATTCCCCATATTAGGGTTCCATATACCTTATTTCAATGGCCCCACCTCCACAAGGGTGCCATGTACCTTATTTACATTGTTAACAAGCTATCAGTCTCCATGGTGGGCCACTAGCACCTTACATTTTCATAGTTGTACCCAGTCAACTGATGGAAGTCACAAAGACCATGGCTAGATGAGCCATGTTAAGTAATTCACTGCTCTGCAACAACCAAACATCTCGTGGGATTTGGTTCTTTGGTTTGGAGATTTAGGCTCAGGGTTTCATGGGATATCACAGTTAATTGGCTTTTGGTGCTTTTGCAAATTAGTGTTTGGTGCTTCTGTTTTACTTTATTGCATAGTGCCTGGGGTCTTAAAAGCTTGCAAGCAGCCATCCAAGGTACAACAGTTGCTCTCTATTCACCTGGAGCAACAGAGGAAGAGAGTTAGGAATAGGAATGTTGTTATTGTTGTTGTTTGCCATCGAGTCGGCCCCGATTCATAGCGACCCCTACTTGGGTTTCCGAGGCAGTATCACTACGGAAGTAGGAACGCCCAACCTTCCTTCCGAGGAGTGGCTGGTGGGTTTGAACCGCCAGCCTTCTGGTTAGCAGTCAAGTGCCTTAGCCACTATGCTACCAGAGCTCCCAGGAATAGGAATAGTATGGCTAATTGCCTCCATGAACAACTGCCTCCTTTGCTATGAGACTAGAAGAACTGGATGGAGCCCAGCTACCATTACTGAATAAGTTGATCAAAGATTCCATAGAAGAATGCTGGTCAAAAGTGGGAAATGTGAAAATGATTTTAAATTCTCATGGAATCTATACTTTCTGGAACCATGGAAGCTGGATGAACTCCTAAAACTATTGCTCTGAGATAATCTTTAAACCTTAAACCAAAAAATGTCTCCTGAATTCTTAAAACCAAACAGTAGTTAAGCTAAACTTAAACAGTGCTTTGAGCACTGTACTCATTTAATCTCTATCTATATGTGATCCAAGGAGCTCTGGGGGGTGTAGGAGTTAAGGTGTTTGGTTGCTCAAAAGGTCTATGGTTCAAACTCACCACCAACTCTGTGGCAGAAAGATGAGGTAGTCTGCTTCCATAAAGATTTACTGCCGTGGAAACCCTATGGGGCAATTCTACTCTGTCCTATGGGGTTGCCATGAGTTGCAGTCAATATAATGGCAGTGGGTGGTGGTGATATGAGATCAGATTGATGATAGCAACTCAAAAGATTAGATTGGAACATCTAATGGGGGAGGAACAACTCAGAAAAGGAGAGTGAAAATGGTTGCACAACTCGAAGGATGCAATCAGTTTCACTGAATTGCACTTGAAGAAATTGTTGAATTGTTGCATGTTTTGCTGTGCATATTCTCAACAACAACAACAACAAAAATAAAATACTGGGCCAATTGGAAAGGGGAGGCATTGTTGGAGTGATGATCTTATTATAAACTTTATATTTTACTTCCTAACAAAGGGCCTAGAAACAAAAGAAGAATTAAAAATTGTTCACATGAATCTAAAAGAATACCATAAAACTATAGATGAACTAAGAAGAAATGTTTCTGAAAAGACAGCTCAAATAATAAATATTCAGAAGGACGTAGAAAAAAAATCCAGTGCTGAATTAAAAGGAAAGGTATATTGTTTTTCTTCCTTCTCTCCTTTCTCCCTTCTTCCTTCCTTTCTCCTCTGCTGGAAGGATAAGCAGTTATGGTTCATTCATTTACTGAACATGTGTTTGTTGAATGTGTACTATGCCAGGCACAGTCCTAGATGATGGAAATATGGTGGGAACAAGGTGGACTAAATCCCTATGTTCATAAGGCTTACTTTGTAAAGGGAAGGAAGTAATGGATAAATAAGCAAAAAAATGAACAAGGCAATGCCAAATAGTGGAAAATTCGTGGAGAGAGTGAAACACTGTTATAACTGGAACAATCTGTGTTAAAAACCTATTCACTTAGTGATCGATATTGACACCATGAATATGAATAAGATCGGTTTCTTCTCCTCCAATATAGTCATGTAAAAAATGCCCTATATTTAACAGTATGGTAAATATGAAATATCATGTACAAAGTTACATGATACCACTGATGATCATGGAAAAGGGGAATCAGTCTGTACAGGTAGAAAAATTGAGAATCAGCACTGGGGCCCATCTGGAAATGAGAACCATACATTTATTGGGATGTAGTCATCCCAACTATGATTTCTCTCAAGTAGCATTTGAGAGCTCATGTAGAAAAGAAGCAGCATATGTGCAACAGACTGAATTAACAGTTTTTGGTAAAGTATAAAGGAGCTCTGGTGACTTCATGACTTACTAACACATTCAGATGCCAACCAAAAGGTTGATTTGAACCCACTAGCCACTCTGTGGGAAAAAGATGGGGCATTCTGCTTCCATAAAGATTTATAGCTTTGGAAACCCTATAGGAAGATTAGACTCTGTCCTGTAGGGTCACTGTCAGTTGGAATCAACTCAATGGGTAGGTTTCTGAGGTTGGTAAAGTATAAGGATTAGTGAGCTTGGGGTGCTGGTTAGAGAATGGTTCACTTTTGGATTTAAGCTGCACAGAGTTATGACAGAATATCATTGGCAGAAAAGTACTGAAAAACTTCAGAGGGAATAAAGGATGAAATAATAATAATAATAAAAGGAATTAGTGACCTGAGGTGAGCCCTGAAGGTTTAAGATCACTTCCATGGCTATGGAAAGTATCTTTATCTTTCCCTTTAAAAATATCATAATAAATCGCTAACATTGGTATTTTATGAATGTCCCAAGATCCCAGCATTTCATGTGGAACAACAGCCTCTTCCTAATGTGAAAGAAGTCAGTGAGATTCAGGAAACAACAGATGAACTGGACAAAGCCAAGGATTCCACACGTCCAAGCACAGAAATTGAAAGGCACAGATTAATTGTAGAACTTCAGGAAAGTCAAGAAGAAATAAAATCTGTAACTAAGGAGAAAGACAATCTTAAAACAATAAATGAGACACTTCAAGTTGAGTGTGAGCAGCTGAAAGAGGACATAAGAGTAACTTTAGCTAAAGTAAGTTTCATCCTTTTCACCCATTTAGTATATGTTTTCTAAGTATCAGATCTTTAGGAAAAGAAGCATTTGTGCTATGGTTATAATGTTACTATGTTGTTTCTGAGTTGTTGTTTTTCTTCTTCTTTTTTTTTTTTTTAATGTCCCTTAATCATGAAGTACTTGAAAACATAATAGAAAATTGTTCATGTTCAACTGTGTGAATACTAAGAAACTATTGAAACTATAGAGACAATATTTCAGAGAAGTTAGTTATTTTCTTAAATATTCAAAACAATTTAGAAAAAATGCTAAATTATAGGAAAGGGTAAAGCCAAAAGTAAATTCCTTTTTTCTTTTTTTTAAACCTATACCTCCAGCCCCATTAGGGACTGCAATCTTCCTCACTGCTTCAGCCAGAAATCTGGGAACCACCCCTACTAGAATCCCTTCCTCCTCACCCACTCCACAGTCCAATCTCCAGGTCTTGTTGTTCTAATGTGGTGTCTACATAAATATGTACTTTACCTACTTTCCTATCCATATTGCTACCCCTTTAATCTGAGCCACCATCATTTCTTTTCCTTGGATTCACACTAGCCTGCCAACTGGTCTTCTCACATTCATTCTTAAATTTCCATAATGCATTCCCAATCTGAGCCAGTGGTCTTTTTATAACACATATCTATTTGATTATGCCATTGTCCTTCTTAAACACTTTAATATCATATTTTTATTTTTGTAATAAAATCAAAATCTTTCACATGGCCTATGAGACCCTGAATCCTTTGGCCCTTGCTAGTCTCTAAATTTTTCAACCTATTATTCTTTTGCTCATGCACCAGAGACATTAGTTTTGCTCTTCTTCATCTCATGGATTTCAGGTATTCTAATTTCCTTACATAGAGTATTTCCATACGCCCTTTGTTTGTAGCTAATACTCATCTTTCAGATCTCAGCTGAAGGTTCCTCTTCCCCAGGAAGACTTTCCTAACTATTCACAACAGGTTGGGTTTGCCACTAATGTCCTGAGAGAACCTAACACATCTGTTAAGATTTGGCAAAATCTTTCTTTACCACTAGACCGTATGTCTCCAAAACATAGTTTATATAAATCTCATATACCATTTTATGCTAACAACACAACGAGCCCTCAGTAAGTAAGTGTTTAATGCCTAAATAATGCAACAGTGAGAAAGTAGAAAGATTGCTCTGTAAATGATCCATTGAATCCTGCCTTCATTGTTGTAGAAGCATCCTGATTTCTTTCCCCATAAAATGAAAGTATCTCCAGGTTACCAACCATATTGTTTAATGATTCCTTTAAGATCCAAGAGGCTCAAGACAAACAAGAACAATCCTACAACATGAATGAAAAAGACAATGAAATTAAGAAATTACTAAGTGAGATGGAGCAATTGAAGGAGCACTTTGAAGCCAAAGATTCCACACTACTACGAGTAGAAATGGAAAAGCTGAAGTTATCTGAAAAACTTCAAGAAAGTCAAGATGAAATGAAGTCTATAGCTAAAGAGAGAGACGACCTAAAGAGTCTCCAAGAAATTCTTCAGTCTGAAAGTGACCAACTCAAAAAAAACGTGGAAGAACTCATCACTAAAGTAGGTTTCATTCTTTTCCCTGTGTATTTTTTTTTTTTTGTAAGCACATATTTTTGGAAGAACTAAATCTTTGAGGAGTTAATTATACTGTAATTATACTATAATGGTACAGAGTAATGGTTATAGTGTTTATATAAAATTTATTTTACTTTTTCCTATGGTAAAGCAACTGGAAACTGAAGAGGAACTTAAAGTTGCTCATATTCAACTGAAAGAACAGAAGGAAGCTATTAATAAGCTGAGAGTGAATGTTTCAGAGAGAGAAACTGAACTGTCAAGCATTCAAAAGGAGTTAGAAACAACGAATGGTGAATTACAGAAAAAGGTAAATTTAGTGTTAAGGAACAGTGGGAGGAATCCTGGGGATATCACTAACTGGAAAGCATCCTGGTGTTTTTCCTTTAAAAATTAAATAAACTATTTCTGACTATTGTTATTTTATCATTATTTTAAGATCCAAGAGCTTCATGAGAAACAGGAACAACTTCTTCATGTAAAAGAAATTAGTGAGACTCAGGAAACTATGAATGAACTAGAGCAAAGCAGGGAGCTTCTAAAAGCCAAAGAATCAACACTACAAAGTGTAGAAACTGAGAATCTCAAACTGACTGAAAGACTTCAGGAAAGTCAAGAAGAAATTAAAATGATAATTAAGGAAAGAGATGAACTGAAAAGGGTACAGGAGGCCATTCAAATGGAGAGAGACCAACTCAAGGAAAACATTAGTGAACTTGTAGCTAACGTAAGTTTACTTCTTTTTATGTTTTTGAGTGAAGAAAATTAATGTGAAGGGGATGATGATGATGTTCATTATTAAGCTTTATTTTTTTTCTAATCAGGGACTAGAAACAAAAGAGGAACTAAAAACTGCTTACATTCACCTGAATGAGCACCAAGAAACTATTAATACACTAACAAGGAATATTTCAGAGAAGTCAGATCAAGTAACAAATATGCAGAGGGATTTAGAAAATTCAAAAGCTGAATTACAAGCAAAGGTAGGTTTTGTTTTGTTAAGTGGGAAAATGACACCTGATTACTGTGTTCCTCATATCCTTTTTGCTAAAAAATAGTACATGCATGCATTAGGCTGAAATGTAGCTATGACTGCAAAAGGGCAATAGGGTTAATGGGAGGGTAAACTGATGCAACCTTGGGGAACATTGGAGTGGGGATATTTAGCGATATCTTCCAAATTATTCAATAAACTTATTCATTGACCCTAGGAGCTCTGGTAGCATAGTGGCTAAAAGCACTTGACTGCTAACCAGAAGGCTGGTGGTTCAAACCCAGCAGCCACTCCTGGGAAGGAAGGTTGGGCAATCCTACTTCCGCAGTGATACTGCCTCGGAAATCCAAGGAGGGGTCGCTATGAGTCAGGGCTGACTCGATGGCACATAACAACAACAACAACAATTCATTGACCCTAAAGTCCCATCATAGCTGTTTATCTTGAATACATTTGCAGAACTGTGCAAAGATATTTGTTGAAGGACAGTCATTGTAGCAAGTTAGATAACAAAATAAAACAAAAAAAAAATAAGGAAAATTTTAACTGTCCATTAGTAGAAGATTAGTTAAATAAATTTTGCAGAGTCTATGGAATAGTATGCTATTGTTGTTGTTGTTGTTATGTGCTGTCGAGTCAGCCCTGACTCATAGCGACCCCTCCTTGGGTTTCCGAGGCAGTATCACTACAGAAGTAGGATTGCCCAACCTTCCTTCCAAGGAGTGGCTGGTGGGTTTGAACCGCCAGCCTTCTGGTTAGCAGTCAAGCGCCTTAGCCACTATGCTACCACAGCTCCCATGCTATAGATTTATAAAAAAAAAAAAGAGGTAGAGCTATAGAATTTGTTTACATCTAAAATTGATTTAAAAGGCAAGGAATGGAAGGCCTGGAGAGGGCGGTAAATTTTTACTTCAACCTTGTATCTTTCTATACTGTTAGAATTATATTCTGTGAATGTATCATTCTTATGATCTTCTTGAAACCTAGTTAACATTAAGGTACTAAAGGAAATGGTTGATAGGTTTGATCTGTCCATTTTATTTCTCTAACAATAAAGGATCTAGAGAAACAAGAGGAACTAAAAATTGCTCACATGCATCTGAAAGAACACCAAGAAACCATTGATAAACTCAGAGGGATTGTTTCAGAGAAAACAGAGGAAATATCAAATATGCAAATGGATTTAAAGAACTCAAATGCTACCTTAAACACACAGGTAATTTTCCTTTTTAAATTGTTATCTGAGTAACTAAAAGTTTCAGGCAAGTCTTTTGTGTAATGAAAGGCACAAGAATTAGCCTAGAATTGAAGAGATACGGCGATTTGCCTGCCCAGTTTAGAAACGATTATTTAAATTTTTATCTATACCTGTCTATATCTTAAATTATTGTATGATTATCTTAAGATCCAAGAGCTTCAAGAGAAAGAACATCAACTTGTTAAGGTAAAAACTGATCTCAAGGAAAATATATACAAAATAGAACAACTGAAGAAGCAAACAGAGACCCAGAATTCAATTCTGGAAAGTGTAGAAATGGAGAAGTTAAAGTTGTCCCAGAAAGTTCATGAAACCCTTGAAGAAATAAGATCTATAACTAAGGAAAGAGATGACCTAAGAAGAGAGGAGAAGGTGCTCAGAATGGAAAGGGACCAGCTCAGGGAAAACCTCCAAGAAACAGAAGCTAAAGTAAGTAACATTTATGCCTCTTCCTAGCTAGTAACTGAGAGGAAAAAAGCAAGCTGTAGAACAGTCTGTATAGAATGTGTTTAGTTCTAGAAAGTAGGGTTAGAATGTGGGGAAGAGAAGACAGGAAAGGAAAACCCTACAACTTCCCAGCAGCAACAAAAGTGTAGAGTCGAAAGTAAAAGTTTTATTATTTTTACAAAGAGAATGTACCACTTCCATGAAAAATACTACTAATTACCATCAAGATAAAAAAGAGATGAATAATAGTTTTATTTATGTCACTGTTCTTAAAATTTCTCTAATAATAAAGGATCTAGAAAAACAAGAGGAACTACAAATTGCTCACATGCATCTGAAAGAGAACCAAAAAAATATTGATAAACTCAGAGGGATTGTTTCTGAGAAAGCAGATGAAATCTCAAATCTACAGATAGATTTAGAAAATTCAAATGCTAAACTCCAAGAAAAGGTATAGTGGACTCCCCAACAAATGTAAGACCTCATTTGAATAGTTATTTTATTTATTTGTACCTGAAATTATTTGGAGATATAAAATGAAATGGAATGCGTAAAGATTGATATCCTAGGCATTGTTGTTGTTGTTGTTAAGTGCCGTCGAGTCGTTTCCGACTCATAGCGACCCCATGCACAGCAGAACGAAACACTGCCCGATCCCGCACCAGCCCC